GACACTGGGGGACTCCCAGCTACTTCTCAAGCTGAACAGGGTTTTGCTTCAAGCCATGGGATGCAGGTGGCAGTGGAGGAAAAGCAACCCCATAACCAGAACCTCTTTTTCTTTTTTTCCTTTTTTTTTTTGGTTTTTTCCCAGTGTCGGAAATCGAACTCACGACCTTGCGCTTGCCAGGCAGGCGCTGTGCCGCTGAGCTAAATCCCCAGCCCCCAGAACCTCTTTTTCTTCTCCATTTTTTAGCAGTGCCCGGGAGTTCTAAGCTACATCCCTGGTATTCGGAGACAGGGTCTCACTGTCTCGTTATCCAGGCTGGGCTCCGACCTGCGATCCTCCTGCTTCAGCCTCCTGAGCAGCTGGATTATAGGCCTGGACTGCTGCTCCCGGCAGCCGTAAACGCAGCTGCATTAATCACTGTTTTGGCAGCGCGTCCCGGGTGAGACTCACTGCAGCGTCTGCAGCCTGCAGCGCGGGTGCCGGAGCCCGGCACACAGCAGCGCGGCGCCCGCCGCGCCCAGGCCGTTGCCGCTGAGGTCCAGCCGCAGCAGATGCGCGTTGGCCACCAGAGCCGCCGCGAGGTCCCGGCAGGCGGAGCTGGGGACGAGGCACCGCTTCAGCCTGGCGCAGAGTGGAGGAGGAGACAGGGTCAGCTGCGGGCGGCCGCTTCGCCTCCCGCCCAGCCTTCTCGCCGTGGTGTTGGAGGGGCGGAGGACCGGGCCCGCCCAGCCTGCATGTGGGGGCGTCAGGGGCTGAGCTCCCCGGCAGCCCGGCCCTCAGGGGGGCGGGGCCGGACTCACCTGAGGTTCTGCAGCTGGCAGCGCGGGTGTCGCAGCCCCTGGCACAGCACCCTCACCCCGTGGGCGCCCAGCGCGCTGCGGCGCAGGCCCAGCTCCACTAGCTCCCGGTGGGAGCACAGGGCTGCGGCCAGGTGCTCGCTGTAGGCGTCGGGTAGCAGGTCGCTCTCGGGCCTGCGGGTGGGACGGGAAGGCTGCGTGTTTTGTTTATTTTTGGGTTTTGGGGGGTTTTTTTGTATTTTTTTTGTCCATTTGAGACAGAGTCTCGCTATGCAGTTCAGGCTGGCCTTGAGCTCACTTTGTAACCCAGGCTGGTCTCAAACTCACAGCAATCCTACTGCCTCAGCCTCGAGTGCTGGGATTACAGGCGTGCCCCCCCACGCCTGGCAAGGCCGGGTGTTACAGGTCACTATACAACTGGTTTTTTCTTGTTTCGTTTTTTAAGAAAGGGTCTCTGGGGCTTGGGATTTAGCTCAGTGGCACAGCGCCTGCCTGGCAAGTGCAAGGTCATGAGTTCGATTCCCGGTACAGGAGGAAAAAAAAAAAAAGAAGAAAAAAAAAAAGAAAGAAAGAAAGGGTCTCATCAAGTAGTCCAGGCTGGCCTCAAACTCCCGGAGATCCTCCTGCCTCAGCCTCCAGAGTGCTGGGATGACAGGTGTACGCCCCCATGTCCAGCTCACAAGGGCCAGCTCCCTCTTTGCCGTGGGAGGTCGTCCCATGCCGTGCAACTGTGGGAGGTCTGCCCCATCCTTGGCCTCCCCCCACCCGATGTGAGCGATGTCACCCTGCCCCCCCCACCGTGACAACCAAGATGCCCCCAGCCCCTGGGAGGTGCTGAGCCCCAGTTACGGGCAGAAACACAAGAGCCAGCCGCAGCAGGTACTCACGGCTGCCCAGCCAGCATCTGGGTCCTGGAAGTCTCCACGCCATCTTCCTCCTGCTCCTCCTCTCTCTCCTCTTCCTCCTCCTGCACCTCCTCCCTGCAGGCCGTCGGGGCCCCGGACAGGTGCAGCACAGCGGCGCTCTCGCAGCTCTGGGCGCAGTAGGCGCAGGCCATGTGCTCCATCTTGGTGGAGATGTCGCTGACCACCACCACCTGGAAGGGGCGCAGGGCCTGCCGGATGAAGCCCGGCTCCTGCGTCTCATACAGGCAGCCCAGGAGCTCCAGGGAGCCCCGCTGCAGCGTGCAGCCCTCGCTGTGCGCCAGGCCGCGGATCCAGCCCAGCAGCTGCGCCTCCAGGCCCGGCTCGACGGCCCAGCGCAGCGCCCTCTCCAGGTAGCTCCGCGTCTCCGCGTTCAGAAGCCCGAACAGGAAGCGCACGGTCAGCGCCAGGAAGCTCCGGTCTGACAGCGCGTACTTGGCCAGCAGCTCGGCCACCTCGGGCCGGGGGCCCAGGGCCCCGTCCCCGCCGGCCCCGCCGTCCCCGCCGGCCAGGGAGTAGTGCATGGCCGCGAAGAACTCCTGGAAGCTCAGGTGGATGAAGCTGTACAGCCGCTCGCAGCCGATGTCCTTCTGGAAGACGCTCACGTTGAGGAAGGCGGAGACGTCGGCGCCATCCAGGCCGTGCCTCCGCAGATCCCGCTCCTCGAAGAGGGCCTTCTGCTGCCAGAGCCCCTCGGCGGCCAGCGAGCACAGGCTCCTGTGGTTCGGGGCGCCCTGCAGCGTGGGGGTGCCGGGCCTGGGCTGCAGCAGGCTGAGCAGGTAGAGGGTGTACACGGCCGTGGTGGTGCGCGCCGGGGGCCCCAGCAGCTCGCCCGCCTCCAGCCGCTGCCGCAGGCAGGTGCAGACCACCCAGCACAGCAGGGGCACGAAGCACAGCGAGAACAGCGGCTCGCTGTCGCGCACGAAGCTGAGGGCCCGCGCCGCCTGCTGCGGCTGCCCGAAGAACCTGTGGAAGTACCGCTCCCGCTCGGCCTCGGAGAAGCCCAGGATCTCCGCGTGCCTCGGCTGCTGCAGCAGCCCCTGCAGCCTCTCCAGCGCGCAGGGCCGCGTGGTGACCAGCAGGGACGCCTCGGGCAGCAGCTGCTTGGCCAGCAGGCTGCTCAGCAGCAGCCCCGTGGGCCGCAGCTCGTCCCAGCCCAGGCAGCAGGGCCCCGGCGCGCCCGCGAAGGACAA